AGAATGTCGCAGCGCCGACAGCAAGTAAGCACAGTGCTGGGTTCAGGATCACTACCCGTGACGGAGCCAGTACCGGTAACAGTGCACGGCGAGACGGACGAAGTAGAATTCGCGGTGCATGACCGACAATCGATCCCGAACCTCCTGGGGATGGTAGAATGGGAACGGCGGTCTGTCGCACGCACAATACGACGCCGCACGTCAGCACAGGTGTACGCCGTACGAGGCCTTATTTGGAAGACCACCGTACTTCACGCGTTGCAAGAGGTAACCGGCACAATGACAGAGGAGCAGAGGAAACAGAGCCTGGCGGCACAGATGCGTGAGAGACTGCAAAAGGCCATGCTCGCAGATATGCCGCTCGAGGAGTCGGGCGCGGATGACCTACGGGTAGGAGAAATAGTAGTAGTCTCGATGGAGCCAGGGTCACAGATGGAGCCAGGGTCACAGACGCCAGGGGAGGACCGAAGATACCAGCTTCGGCGCACATCGCGTGGTCGCTCCTATGAGGATAACAGAGTTGAGGAAAACGCAGGTAGTGGCAGAAAGATGCGACGTGCCGGGGTGGACGGTCACGGCTCACAAAGACCAAGTCAGAAGGTTCAAGCTGAGCATGGATCCACTACTGCGGTGGGCAACCCAAGAGTACGTCTCAGGGCAGCGCGAGCTGGAGGAGCAGGCCGAGAACAGGCGGAGGCGACCGACGTTGGCATGAAGACAGAAGCCAACTGGGATGAGTTCTTAGGAATGATACAACCCTTCAACTGAGAAGGCGAGGGGGCGTGGTGGCATGCCAGTGGGCGAGGGCGGTTGTTGTGTCTCGCCCGCCGAAGCTTTTTATTAAATACAGAGGGAGTTAGCAACCTAGCGATGCAAGTTAGCAGAATCGACACCGAGGGCTCCTCGTACGACGCAGGCAGCACCACGTAAGTAGCGGACCAGTTCGACACAACATATCTGCAGTGGGAGTTTTCGTCAAAAACATTAATGGGGACCAGGACCGTGTTGGTACGAACTTCAGACCTTCAATACGAGAGGATGTGATGGAGGTTTTTGGGCCGATTGAGGGCTGGGAGCCAGCGACCAACATCATTAGACGTGACCTGGACCATTGCGAAAGTTCCCGACGACCTTTTCGGATTGCCCGCCAAGCAGGTTGTCCCCGTCGCAGGCGGCGGTGTTGCGCCGTGAGTATGAAACAAACATGTCTCTGGGAAGCGGGGACAGGTGTTATTGAGATCTCGAAAGTCCCTCAGCAACAGCTAAGCGAGTGTGGGGTTTCGGAGAACATCGGTGAGTTGGTGAAAACCTTTTACATGTCCTTTTACATGTCTGGCTTAAGAGCCATCTTCTTGGGCCTAGGTCATACTTACTGAGAAGTAAAGCCCAACGTGTGAGTTTACCTTTCTTGGCTTCCATTAACCACTTCAAACTCTGGTGGTCGGTGATAACGTGGTCGGTGATAACGTGGTCGGTGATAACGTGGTCGGTAATAACGGTTACATGTCGTGCTTTAAAATAGTAGTCGTGTTTCCGCAGGCTGTAAATCATTGTGAAGGCCTATCTCACAATTGGCCAATTTTGTTCAGTGCTGTTCAGCTTGCGACTGATATAGTGAGCTTGTAGGAAACCACTTACGCCGAGACGAGAGCCGACTCCATGAGTAGTAGTAGGAGCTTTAATACGCTGAATGAAACCATTTTTTTGGGGTTGGGTCGAGTGATCCCTTCTTCGATGATGTGACCTAGATATAGAAGTATCGAGCCAGCTGAAGGTCGGAGTCGGATGACATCATCAGTAGTCATTTTGTCTATCTCGTCATTCATAGACTGGTCTTGTTCAGCAGTACGTGTTCACTATAGGTCTTGATGCGGTTAGTAAAATTTCATATCTAAACAGTGGAGAAAACTCACGCCTTCAATAACACTAAATACTTAGAGAGCAAAACGGTCACAGCATATCGGGTTTCTTGAGCAGTAAGGTCAATGTTGCGCCGTGAGTCGCTCGCTGCCGGACTTCATTTCTCCTTTCCTCACCAGGATTATTTGGGCAAGCCCCTGGCCTGGTGGTCGGATTGCTCGCCCAGATGGACCTACGGTCGGTGAGGAGCTCGCGGTCGTCGGGGGTTAGTGCCAACCCGTCGTGAGGTTGTGAGTCCAAGTCGTAGCTCAACCGGGCTCAACGGCGTAAAGTGTCGGGCTCCCGACGCAGGTCCCGGCCCTGACGGCGCAGGAATTAGGTTCAAAAAGATTTTTTCTGGTGGCGGGGAGTGGCAGATGAGGACGGTATGGAGTCGGCGGCGCGAGCTACAGCTGGGCTACGTGTGGAGCATGGACGGTGCTGCGTATTTGGCGATGGACATGGCCGTGGTCGCCCGGGTCCCGGGTGCTGGGGTGGCGCAGCGGCCGGAGTTGGAATGGTTGGAGAATGCATCCCCGTACGAGAGTGAGTTGTACTGGATGCGGAACTACTGGCGGAGTTTTACGCCGGAGGCCTACGCCGTCTTGTCGAAGACCATCAGCGGGTGGCCGTCGAAGCGGCTGAGTGCGTGGCCGCCGCGGTGGCTGCAGATCCTCCAGACGCGAAGCCTGTCGGCGCAGGAGTTGGCGGAGTGGCAAGTGTCCAGAGAGCCCGGGGATGAGTCGTCGGAGACGGTGGAGGTGCCCGGGTACGTGCCGGTGTTGGGGAGGATGACCAGGTTCGCCACGCGTGCGGGCGTGTTCCGGAACGACGTGGAGGCGCATGCAGCGCTGAGGAACGCGTTGCCGGAGGATGCGTGGCGCGCATTTCGGAGCGTGGATACGGCGCAGTTGGGGCGTTGTCGACTGGAGTATTTAGAGTTCGCTGCGTACATATCGGCCTTTTTACGTTCGCCCTTTGGGCTAGTCAGCCGTAGGCTGGAGAACGCTTTGGACGCCGAACCCTGGCATCCACGGCGACGTCGATTGTGGGTGGCTGGTTGTTTGCTGCAGCACGCGCGTGTGTGTACCGTCCAGCTTGCGCGGTTTTGCGTCGCCGTTCTCGGCTGCGTGGCCTGGGGACCCGGGCGGCTGTTCTGTTTGGACACTCAAAACCGGCTGCGCGTGCGTTTCCTTCGCGAAAAGTGGTCGGCAAACGCGTCTGCGGAGGACTTACAGCAACGCCTCGCCCAACTGCCAAGCGTCACCGCGGCCGAGTTCGCCCGTATGCCCGACGAGTGGGGTACCGGCTCGCCCACCCAGCAGCTCGCCTCCGAGCTGCAACTCAATTGGGCCGCTGCCTTCTGGGCCCCGCTGGATCGCCGCCAGTACGAACAATTACGCAACACATCCCAGAGCCAACAGCGCTTCGGGGCCGTCCGCAGGGCGCGGGTACAAGAAGCCGCCGACTCGGTGTGGATGACGATACCGAATAGCGCGGAGACCGTGTACATACCCGAAATAATAACCTTAACGGAATTTGCGAAACGCGCCATGCTCTTCAAAACCGAGTTCGACGCCTACGAAGCGCTGCGCCGGTCGATTCCGGAGCAGGCGTGGAAGAGACTGCGTGGCGTGCAGGCCACGCAGTTCGGCACCTGCACATGGGAATGTCTAGAACTGAGCCGAATCATTTCCATCTTCTTTGAATCCGCCTTCGGCTCGGTTAACCGGAGCCTGGAACGCACCATTTTCGGTCATGTCGCGCCCGACCCACTCACACGACGCTGGTGGATCACGGCCTGCCTCCTCCAACACGCCCGCGTGTCCACCATCGACCTACTCGAGTTTTGCATCAGCCAACTCAAATACGAACCCCGACTGGAATCAGGACTCATATCAAGACTGGATCTAACACTGAATCCCGAACTCGAATGCTTTAGACAATACCCGTACACCATACACCATCCAATTCGGAACGCAGAAGAGGTCCGGGCCCTCGCCACCCGTCTTGCCACCCAACTGCGCCGCATGGGAAGCGTCTCCTTCGCTGAGTTCAACACACTTACGAGACCCGCTGTCACCACCGCCTCCACGAGACACCCAATAATCCTTACGAGATATGCCACTTCTACAGGACGCGCTACTCTCAAGGGACACGCAACCACCAAGACCACTCCCAAGCTGCAGGCTACCCGCGTAGAGGACGTGCCTCCCCAGCTACAGCACCTTCGACGGCGTGGCAACAAAAGAGAGGCCGCGGCACGCCTGCCGCAGGACGCTGAAACTCCAGCCGCAAACAAAACGAGAAAGTGCGTCACGCAGTCAGAGCACCAACCGCGGGACCAGAGTCCACTGGACCTGAGTCCACTGGACCTGAGTCCACTGGATCGGAGTCCACTGGATCGGAGTCCACTGGATCGGAGTCCACTGGACCGGAGTCCACTGGACCGGAGTCCACTGGACCGGAGTCCACTGGACCGGAGTCCACTGGACCGGAGTCCACTGGACCGGAGTCCACTGGACCGGAGTCCACTGGACCGGAGTCCACTGGACCTGAGTCCACTGGACCTGAGTCAACGGCCGAACCATACCGCCTAACTGCTTCATGAAGCGCACATACTTTCATCTTTTCAGCGAGCTGCTGACCGAGGAGAGATCGTGCGAAAGAAGTGGGCTTTGTTGTGGACTATTCAAAGTGGCTGCACATAAGGCAATACAACAAACAAGTGGGTGAGCGGTAGGTTGCAGTGAAACTGTTCTCGAGCAAGAAGTCCTCTCGGGATTATGCGGTCGGGTTTGATTGACCGGTGTTTGGGAACTCAAAATTTTAAATGAACTCAAACGATCAAGTAATAATTTTAGACAGTTCGTAATGTTGGGTGTGGCGTGTGATCCCTAAGAGCAGACCGGATGCTCAGAAGCCAAGCCGGACGCTCAGGAGCCAGGCGGGACGCTCAGGAGCCAGGCGGGACGCTCAAAAGCCAGGCGGGACGCTCAAAAGCCAGACGGGATGCCCAGGAGCCAGGCGGGACGCTCAGGAGAAAGGCGGGAGAGAATGGAGCTGGGCACCTAGAAGCAGAATGGAGAGGATGAGGGGGTTTTAATTTTCGAAGTATGCGGTCGGTATTGGGCGGGCATGGTTGGTTGTCAGGTTGGCTGATAGTGGCGGGTGGTTGCGCGGCGTTGGAGTGTGCGAAGGAGAGGAAGTGGTTGGCTAGTTATTGGCGTGTGCTAGATGATAGGGAGTACGGAGAGTTGCGGGAGGTGTTGAGTGACAAGGAATGGACTCGTCGTCAAGAGTGGATTGCACGATGGGCGAAGTTTGGCGGGACCGTGCCGTCTGAAGTGCTGATGGAGTGGACAATGACGACGTCGGTTTCTGGTTGCACTGTGAGTAGTCCATTATACATTCCGGCGTTGGGTGTCATGAACGCTTTTGCTCGGAACGCTGGAGTGTTTAAGACCGATTGTGAGGCACATCGGGCGTTGAGGAAGGCGTTACCTGTGGCGGCATGGAAGCGTTTGAGGTGGGTGGATCGTACACATATGCGAACATGCCATCTCCAATATGTCGAGCTCGCTGCCATCCTCCACGCCTACTTCGTCGCTCCTCTCGGGTACCTGGACGAATCCGTTCGAGCTCAGGTCAGTGTTGCTATCCCAGGCAAACCCGTTAGACAACGCTACTGGACCACTGGCTGCCTCCTCCAACTAGCACACGCACCCGTCGATGATCTCGTCAACTTTTGCGTACTACGACTACGACACCGCCCCAAAGGCACTCTATATTCCATTACGACCAAGAAACGTAATCCTCGACCTGCACTCCACACCAACCACGTACAAGCCTACGCTGATGCAGCATGGCTAAAACGAAAATTCGCCAAACTACCGGCCGTCTCCGCCAACGTCTACAGCGACTTAAACCCCGAGCTTCTTGCCGGCATCCAACAATCCCCCGACCAGGCCGGCGCCGAACAAAAACTCCCCGACGGACTTTCCCGCGGATCTTCCGACGAACCTGAAATTCAGCCTGCTGCTCCGGAAAGGGAACCGACGCCACCGGCGGCAAAAAAACGTAAACAAGAAACCGCTTGTGCCACAGGTCATAAGACGTCCCACCGACCCTACAGTTTTCCCGAAGATTCGTTTTCAGAGATGGAGGACTATGAATCATTGGGCGAGTCTTCGAACCAGTGGTCCGGTCTGACCGAGAATCTGGATATCGTTACTGTCAACGAATGGGTCGCTTATCAAGAGTCACAGGAAGTCACTTCAACATCTACGGGAAGTGCACTACACTCCTCGGTGCTACATGACGGTCAATATGGTTTGCCGGATGTTCTTGGCGGAACAGCTGAGCATACCTTTGGACAAGA